TGATGTAAAAAATATCCTCAGCGTCACTGCTGATTCTCCTACAATTCATTCTACTTCCAGTTCAGCCCTCTCAGAGGCCAGTTCTTCCAGACAATTCCCAGGGCTCTAACTTACTGGAGGGTTGGGGCGGGGGGGTGATGGGCCTGGAGCAGAGCAGCCATGGAGTGTCAGGGAATGGTCAGATCACACAGAGCTTTCTAATCTCAAATAAAGGCAGCTAGCAGGGTGGGCTCAGACACAGTCTCAATGGGTGGAGATAACTTCCAAAAACAATGTCATTCATTCAGGGACAAGCTACAGCTAGGAGCTGGCTCACAGAGGATTAGCACAGAGGATTAGTGGTTCCAAGCCTGAGGTCTGAAGGCTGATGCTGGAGGCAGGGTTGAACCCTGGCTCCTCTGTTGGCTGTTTGTAAAAGCTTGGGCAACTCTCTCCGAGTCTGTCTCCATGTGTACACCATAGGGATGATAAGAGTCTCCCCTTATAGGGCTGAGCTCATCCTTACATGAAACAGGAGTGCATAGTAGGTACGGAGTAAGTATTGGCTGCTATGAATGAGCCAATATCTTTCTAAGCTGTCTTAACTAACAGGTAAGAATGATTTTTAATTAAGAGGCAATCAGACAACTTCAGAGAGCTAAACCATTAGCTGCCCTTGAGGTTGGAATTGATGGATAATCCCCACCCCACCCCACCCCACCCCAGGATGGAGAGCAAGTCCTGGCATCTCAGGATCCCAAGCCCCTGGTCTGGCACCTGGACCCGTGGGTGCACGACTCATGTTTGTTGAACTAACTCCCTTTCTTTTAGTGCAGCAAGTGCCCAAATTCCTGGTAGCTGGAATCCAAACAGATGCATTTTTTATTCTGGCAAATGAGTTGCCCGGGACGGGAAGCACAGCAATTCAAGGTCACAGAGCAAAGCTTTAAAGAAAACCAACCTCCATGAGTTCTGGGACCTTCTTCTGCTGGGTAACCTGGGTTTTTTGTTTGTTTGCTTGCTTTTAATTGCATACAGGCATTGTGCTGTCAACAAGGGGCTAAAATTAAAGGAAGAAAAGTACCCGTGGTTCTCAATAGGCTTAGCTGATCTCTTCCCTCTGGCGGGAAAGGGGGTTCAGTGGCCGCAGAAAGGTTAGCTGGCAGGGACAGCCTTCTCAGGAGGAGGGGCTGGGCAACAGAAGGAGGAGGGACAGGTGCCGGGCAATGGGACACCCGCAAATGCCTGCACGTACAGAGTCACCCCTCCTCGACTCCTCCGTGCAGGAGCACAGCTGTGCCTGGCGACTAAAGGGAGGGAGTGGCCGGAAAAGGGGAAGGCGTCACTGTGAGCCCCGTGCTCGCCGATGAGGGACACCAGCGCGAAGCAGCTCCCAGGGACAGCTGGTGAACCCGAGTGGCCTGCTCGGGGCACCTAGTGGCGCCTGGGCCGCTGGCATCACGGGGTCATGAAGACTGAGAGGCTTAGATGAGCAGACGTCAGAGGACAGGAGGCCACCGTGAAAGTGCGTCCACTCGGGAGTCCCCACCGCTTCCTCCCTAGGGCCTCCCCAGTCAGCAGGCTGAGTGGTCTTCTGAATGGAAGGATCTGGAAGGAAGAAGGATCCCTTGCCTCAACCTTTCAGTGGCCTCTTACTGTGTCTTCAATAAAATCTAAATCCCTGCTTGGCCCGTGTGGCTCAGTTGGTTGAGCATCCTCCCATGCACTAAGAGGTCACTGGTCCATTCCGGTGAGGACACATGCCTGGGTTTCAGGCTTGATCCCCAGCAGGGGGCGTGCAGGAGGAAACCGATCATCGGTGCTTCTAGCTATCTCTCTCTCTCCCTTCCTCTCTCTCTCTCAAAATCAATAAAAACATGTTTTTTAAAAACCTAAATTCCCACCAAGCCCTGCAAGGCCCCGCCAGGCCTAAGCCTGCAGCTCTGTCTCACCTGGCGCCCTCCTCCCTTGTTTGTGGCACTCAGGCCAGTGGACAACTTTTCAGCTCTTTCCTGTGGCAGGGCCTTTGCACGTGCTCCCCTCCCTCTGCTGGGACTACTCTCCCCATCTTCAGGACTCACCTGCCTCTGACATTTCAACTTGAACTTGTTTTCTCGTTGAATTTGCTCCCAGCACTGTTCTTCCTCTCATTTTCATGTGTGTTTGCTTGGTTCACACCTGTCTCTCCCACTAAGCTACAAACTCCAGAACAGACTGTGAGAGGCAGAACAATCCCTCCCCTCCCCTGTCCTAATCCCTGGAAACTGTGACCACATGACTTCACATGGCGAAAGGGACTCTGCAGATGTGACCACCTTGAGGATCTTGAGATGGGGAGACTATGCTGGGTTCTCTGGGTGCATCCTAAAGGCAATCACAAGGGTCCTCATGAGGGGGAGGCCAGAGGATCCGAGTCAGAGTCAGAAAAGGAGGTGTGAGAATGGAAGCAGAGGCTGGAGTAGTGCGGGCCCACCAGCCAAGGAATGCTGGCGGCTACTAGGAGCTGCCAGGCAAGGAGATGGATTTTCCCCCTAGAACCTTGCAAAGAAAACACCCTGCTGACACCTTGATTTTCAGCCCAGAGACACAAAATGTGGACTTGTGACCTCTATCACTGTAAGGTAATAGATGTGTCCTGCCCTAAGGCATGAGGCTTGTGGCAGTGTTACAGCAGCAACAGGAAACTCATACTGGGCGTGTCTGCTCTGTGCATGTCCTCTCCGTACGTAGTGCCTCGGACAGTACCTGGTACATCGGAGATGCTAAATAAATGCGTGTTCAGGAAATAAATACATGGATGTGGTTGGAAGGCCAGAAGACGACTTGAGAGGGAGAAAAACTGCAGCCCTGCCTGGGCAGTGCATGAACTCAAGTGGGAATGTGTGAGGCAGAATAATCCTTGGGGTCCTGTCACCCACCTATGTCCTTTCAGAGGTGAGCAAGCTGAAGCTGGAGGTCACGTGGCGGGAGTGTGATAGAGGATAGTGAATCCAGAACTCCAGCTCATGCAGAGCCCTCTCCTGACATGGGGTAAGACTCAGAATGCAGCCCGCTCCACTCAGGTGTGAGGGCCCTGAGAGCCTGGGCCCAGGATCCCCTGCCAGTTTCAACAATTTAGCTCATAAGACAACTGCCAGTTGCCCCTGTGACTTAGACGTGGGTGGAGACGCTGGCTTGCTGCTGACCAACAGACACAGTCTTTCCTCCTCGGAGCCTCCGTTTCCTCGCCTGTTAAACGGAGCTGATAATACCCTGTGGCTACTCTAAAGATCCAGTGAGTCATGTGTGGCCAGTGTCCTGCATGTAAGACTCGCTCCACATGCCTTCAAGCGTGCCCCCAAGTGACCCTGGAGAGAACCCAACACCTCCTCACCTCCCCAAGCCCTGGGGTACCTGGCAGGTTGAAGGCCTTCTGCTGCCTGGTGCACTGCGGGGAAGGGTGGAGGGGAGACGGCGGAGTGGCGCTGGGAGGGAGCGGGGGTGCTGGCGAGGAGGGCGTGGAGGACGTCGTGGACGAGGGGTTGCTGCTGGAGTCTGGCTGGTAAGGGACAGGGATGTGGTCCTGCAGAAGGAAAACAGGGCGGGGGCAGCAGTGAGAGTGAGCTGAGCAGGAAGAGACCCACGCCAGCATCCTCACCCCCGGATCCTTCCAACGTCCCCACCAGGTGGCATCCAGCTGTGGAAGGAACAGCTTCTGTAATCAAGTTCCTGCCCACTGTCTGGACCCCCGAGTGAAAGGTGACCACGGAATGCAAGCACGCAGGTGACAGCCACGCTCCCTGTTCGCTCCGATTCGGGAGAGAGCCACGCGGAGGTGCTCAGTGTGCTCTTCCCATCCCGACACCTCTCCTCCCGAGTGTTTATTAAAGAATCAGCAGCCAGACAGCTCAGGAGAGAGCGGGAGAGGAGCCTCCGTACCCCCCTCGCATCTGCACTGGAACCAGCGCCGCCTCCCCTGGCCCCTGAACCTGCTCTGAGGCAAAGACGAAGGTGAATCCCCGTGTGCATCCTCACAATGGCCCTGGTGGGTGAGGTCGGGAGCTGGGGAGTGGGCTGAACAGTGCTCCACCTGGGACCTCAGAGGGGGACCTGACTTTACAAAAGGACTCCATGCGCCCTTAACGTAAGGATCGTGAGATGAGATCTGCCTGGGTTGGGGTGGGCCTAACTCCAATGTCAAGTGTCCTTATAAGAAACAAACAGGAGGGATGCACAGAGGAAAAGGCCGTGCGCACACGGCGGTAGAGGCTGGACTGAGGCTGCTCCACAAGCCAAGGAACGGCAAGGATTGCGGGAGCCGGAGGCTAGGAGCGAGCATGGAGGGGATTCTCGGGGTCTCCAGAAGGAACCAGCCCTGATGGCGCCTTCATTTCAGACCTCTGGCCTCCAGAATAAGTGGCTGTTGTTTTAGCTTCCAAGGCTGTGCTCATTTGTTACGGCAGCTCCGGGAAGCAAATGTAAGCAGGCTCTGCAGTAGCCAGGTGCCAGGCACAGTGTGGTCCGTCAATAAATGTGCGCTAGACAAAGGAAAACAGGAAAGAAAGAACTGGAAGGAGGAGAGTGGAGAGGTGGAGAGGAGAGAGGGAGGGAGAAGATCTATCTCTTCCTACTAGACTATGTCGTATTCATCTTGGAATCTGCAGAACTTAGTACAGAAACAAAAACGAAGAGGTTGCTCATGAATGAATGAATGAATATAAAAAAGGAAAGATGGAAGGAGAGGTGGAGGGAGGGAGGAGGAGGAGGAACTGCCTTTATGGAGAAAGGAATTATCTCTACATGCTTGAGGATAGGAACCATGTCATTCTCTTCTGTGTAGCAAAGCTCAGGACTGATGTGAACAAACTGAATCAAAGAGAGAGAGAGAGAGAGAGAGAGAGAGAGAGAGAGAGAGAGAGAGAGAGATGGTGCCCACTTTCCCTGGCAGAATCACTCCCATAGGAGGGGACTCAGATCTGAGTCCCAATAGGACCAGCAGCAGGAGGCTGTGTTCCATCAGAGGGAAACTCAAGCTCCCACCTCATGCAGGGACCACCCAGTCCAAGCCCTTCACTCTACAGAGGGGGCACTGAAACTCAAAGGGGGGGGGTGACTTGTTGGAAGCATACAGAGAGTTAATGGCTCTAGCCTAGAAGCAGAAACACAAGGTTGTGCCATCTCCACACTTCCTCCTCCTCCATCTCTCCATCCTCCTCCTCCTCCTCCTCCTCCATCTCCTTCTCCTCTGGCTCTCTCCTCCGCTTTTTTCTTCTTTTTCCTCTTTCCCCCTCCTTCCTATTCCTCCTTCTTCTTCCTATTCATCCTTCTGCTCTTCCACTCCACCTCCTCCTCCCTCTTCCTCCTCCATCCTCTTTCTTCCTCCACTTTCTTCCTCCTAATCCTCCTTCTGTTCCTCTTCCTCATTCTCTGTCTTCCTCTTTATCCATTTCCATGCCCTGAGTATCCAGCGCTGGACTAAATTCTTTACACATATCACTGTATCCAATCCTCTCCACAATCCCAACCGTAGTGTCTGCTATGATACTTCTCATTTTCCAGAGGGAAAAATCAAGGCAGAGAGATCTTGCTCTGATCACATAGCAAGCGAAGACACCGAGTTCCAAGCCTCCTGACTAAAAAATGCAGACTCTAACCATGATGCCCAATGAAAAAGCTGGGCTGCTGCGAACCTGGATTGACTGAGCTAGACCGGAGAGGAGACAGACAGCAATGAAAAGGAAATCTTCAGACCAAATTGGCTTAGAAATCTATTGCACTAACTACATCACTGCCTGACAGAAAGAATCTGTGTGAAGCCAGTGAGAAGAGAAAGAGGGGAAAAAATAACCCAGCTCTATGATAGATTCTGTCCACCCTCATGTCAAAGCCACTTTCTTAATAGAGGTTAATTTATTTCTCTTATCAAATTCTCCTGCTGGCAGACAAGCAGAACAATGGCACAGTAATTGATCTATCTGACCCTTGTTTCTGTCCCATCTGACACCAAGAGGCTCATTGTGCCTAGAAATCGAGAGAGAGGGGTTTTGTGATGGCTCTGGGCTCCTTGTCCCCAAGATGTCACAAAGGAAAGGCTGGGTTACAGGCATGCAGTTACTTTCCAGGGGCCTCATTGTGCAAGCCCCCTCATCCCTTCCAGCGATGGATGGGGAGCCCCTCTCCTAGAGAACCATCTTTTCAAATAATAAAGAAAAATGGAGCCGAAACCGGTTTGGCTCAGTGGATAGAGCGTTGGCCTGCGGACTGAAAGGTCCCAGGTTCGATTCCGGTCAAGGGCATGTACCTTGGTTGCGGGCACATCCCCACTGGGGAGTGTGCAGGAGGCAGCTGGTCGATGTTTCTCTCTCATCGATGTTTCTAACTCTCTATCTCTCTCCTTTCCTCTCAGTAAAAACTCAATAAAATATATTTTTAAAAAAGAAAAGTGGAATTTTGACCGGAAACCCACGATTTAAGCTGATGATAACAGCTAGAATTTCCTGGACACTTACCATGTGCCAAGAACTGCACTAAGTTCTTTTAATGCTGATTATTTTATTCTTCCCCACAATAACTCTGAGGTTGGTGCTCTTATTACCCACCACAGACATTTTAAAACATGGCCACAAATCCCTTGGAGTCTTCCCATCAACAGGATGGGGTCTACATCTCCTCCCCTTGAATCTGAGTAGGCTGTGACTGTTTCTATCAGCAGAATGCAACAGAACGGTCACTGCCAACCCTTGGCTAATGCAAACCAAGACCATCAACGCATGGACTCATATTTCCAGGTTATAAAAGCCCATGTACCTTCCACCCTGTCTGCTGAAACAGCTGCCCTTCAAACCCTGAGCTGCCATGTGAGAAGCCTAACTATGTGAGGCAGCCATATTGGAAGGAAGCCCAGGCCACAAGGCAGGCCCACAGGGAGGGGCTTCTGTGGAGCTTCTACAGAGCCCGGGCTTTGACTCCTCCCAACCTGGCACCAGACCTGTGAGTGAAGGAGCCTCTAGATCGGGGACTGGCGAACTTTTTCAGGTAACAAATCTATTGCGCTTTGTGAGCCATGTGGTCTCTGTTGGAACTACTCAATTCTGCCATTGTAGCATGAAAACAGCCATAAACAACAAGAGTGTGGCTTGTTCCAATCCAACTTTATTCACACACACAGGTGGTAAACTGGATTTGGCCTGTAAGCCTTAGTTGCCAAACCCTGTTCTAGATTATTCCAGCTCCCCACTGTGTGAGTTTTCCCAGTTGAGTCCCTGGACATTATGAAGCAGAGACGATCCCCCCTGTGCTGCTTCTTAATAGCTGCCCCACAGACTCCAGGAGCATAATTAAAGGGCTGTTGTTGTATACCACTAAGTTTGTTTGAGCAGTAGTGCGTAACTGGAATGTACCCATTTTACAAACAAGAAAACTGAGGCTCTGAGAGATTCCATTACTTGCCCAGAGTCTCACAGCTGGTAAATGGAGGAAGCCAAGGCTGGCTGCTAGGTTTGCCTGATTTTACAGGCCAAGTTCTCAACTGCTAAGATGATGCCGCACGGAATCAGATGGTGAATGACTGAAATCAACTAGTGAAAATGGTGGGTGATAGCAGGAGAGTAAAAGGACCTGGGCTGTGGTGGGGAGGCATGGAGAAGGAGGTCAGGGACCATATTATGCACTGCCTTACAGGGTGCAGTATTTGATTTGTTTTCTAAATGCACTAGAAAATGACCAGATGCTTTTTAAGCAGAGGTGACACAATTTAAATTATATTCATTAAGAAGCACTCTGGTTGCCGTGTGGAGAACAGACTGGGAAGGGGGCCATGTCCTCTGCAGCCTCATGCAGAGAAGTGAGACTGCGCCTCACCAGTGAGAAGTCCCGGTGCTCTTCTGGGTCCTGAACACAGGCTGGTGACCTACCACACACTCAGGCTGATCCCCACTTTACCACCTTCAATACCATGCACGGAGGCGTCTGGGGCTTGAGAAACCACCTGTTGGCAAGTACAACTTGTGCCTCCTCCTGTGGGGCTGGAAGCAGCCTGGGATAACTTTGGTGGAGTCCAACCAGCAGACCAAACAAAGGATGTGGAAATCATACTGAACATTTGCAGGTCTCACTGGAAAGAAAGATGCCTAGATAGGCCCACGTCTGAGGATCAGCAGTAAGTCAAGCAAAGTGGCTGTGGCTCTGAGCTCAGGGCCCCCGCACACACCCGTCCACCCGTCTCCAGCAGGAGCTCAGAAATAGATCCCTTTCCCCCCGTGGTTTGACTCAACAGATGTGTCAGAAAGCTCAGAACCATCTGCAACGCTAATCCCGCCAGATGGCGAAACATCTCACAGAGCAAAGAGTGCGGGGTCTGGACCACTATGGAACCCGTCTCAAACTCTCCTGCTAATCCCTGCTGACCGTCCTCCACACGCTCATTCATTCTCATCTCCGTGTGCCGGCTCCCTCAGTCAGACAGGTTCCTGGCGCTCACTCTCCACTGATGGCTGAATGCCCCCAAGCTTGACTCAACACCAACCACACAGAATTAGCAGTGCCAGGTGCTGGGAGGCGAGGCAGTGCTCCCGGATGCCCACCGAATCCTCCTCCAGACCCCTCCTCCTTCCTGCAGCAGCAGCCCAGCCGGCCCAATAGAACCCCAGCCTCACCTTGTTGATTTTGTTGGTTTTGGGGAGCGTCTGACTGATGTGCAGGTCCGAATACCGGGGTGGCTTTCGCAGAGGGTTGTTGATGTCACACGGGACCGACTCTGTCCGGACTAGCCTTGCTGGATCCGTAGGGATAAAAGCAGCGATTTGGGAGTTTAAGTATTACTTGGGCTTCCATTCCAGGACAGCAGAGGCCCACCCCCAGGCTGGAAGGGAGTCACTAAAAATGACAGTTGTCATGTCAGGGCAGTGGCATCAGGAGCTCTCCGTGGCCGTTGTTTTCATTGTCAATATGTGACTTGACCATGACAAATTATAATAATAAAACGGAAGCTATCTGTTTGTTTTCAGTTCCGTAATTGTTTCACATTGGTGCTCATTTCAGAGCTGAGCTCCTTTGAAATATAAGAGGTTCCTGATTTCTCAGGGTCTGTGATCAGTGGACAAGCTCATTATGGCCACCCGTCCCTGCCCCGTCCGACCTTCATGTCAGGATCACCTTTCATTACTTGTCGGATTTCTCAGGCTTGAGCAGCCTGTCCCATGTCGAAACACATTTGTCCTAATCAAGGCCACTGGGGTCCCTGGAGGGAAAGCTTGGCTTTCCCAGCGTCCCTTTCTGCATCATTCTGAAGCTACACAGAGATCTGGGCACACGGCTGATGCTAAATAAATACTTACTGTGCCAAACCACATCACCCAAGCCCTTTCCCTGTTACCCCTCTGTTATTTGTACTACGTACAGGGACCACGGGGTGGGACAAAAATTCAAATTGGATGCTAGTAAGTGTTACTAATTAGCTTTTATTTTTATTGTGGGGGCAGAAGGGGGGGTGTTAGTGGAAAAGTTTAAAGCTTTGGACTGACCCAGGGATTTAATTTCTCTGCTTAGCCTGAGCAGACATTACCATAGAAACCGCCACTATTTCCAACTTCCTACTAACGATGGGGTGGGGGCAGCAATCTGGTGGACTTCTGGAAAGCTCTGTTTGCTTCGCATGTACAAAGGGGGGCCCACAGCTGTGAAGGTGGGTGGGAGGGAGCCCTTCTTCAGATGCCAGCCCCTGAGAGCGGGTCTCCCTCCAGCAGGTTGGTCTGGTCTCCTCATGGGAGGCGAGCGCCAGAGGAACCAGCTACGGATGAGAATTCGGTGGGAGGCATTTCCCCAACAAAGCTGCTCCACGACAGTTCAAGAACAAGAGAATTCAGGTTTAAACCAGCCTCACTGATGGCTCTTAACTGGGGATGTGGGTGGGGAGGGGCCGGGGGGCAGGAGGGGCAGGGGAACAGAGCACAAAAAGAGAGATCAAGACTTTCCCTTCACTTGCAATTTCCAAAGCAGAGATCATCGAAAACCAATGGCCCGCTGGCTTTGGGACATGTCTCAGCACTTTCTGCAGCTGTTTGCTGCCTTCTTTCACTTTCCCTTGGGTTTGTTCCAGCAGATTCCCCTGAGCAGGCACTGACCAGGGCCAGGGGCTGGGAGGGGCCTCGCGAGAGGACTAGGAGGAACTCAGTGCCCCTTAGCAAGGCTCTACCCCCAGTTGGAGCCTTAGCTTCATCCATTCATGGGGGGTGGCAGGGAGGAGGCCAGCAAGAATTTTTAAACTTTGAATAAGTTGCTGACGTTTTTAAATAAGCACAGGGCACATAAAATGAGTTGGGCTTTTCTTTGAAAGGTGGGACATGCTGCAGCATAGGTTCACGGAGCGGCTGGGTGGCTATTCTCCCTAGACAGCGCCGGGCTTTCTCTGGCCAGCTTCTCTTTCTTACGGCACCTGCTTGGCCCTGGAAGGCATCTGAGTTTGTAACTCCTGCTCCAGAGCAGCACGTCTCAACCTCAAAGTGCACTGGACTCAGCTGCAGA